TACCATTCCCTCACGATTTTGTTTTTGGGAACTCACGAGCAACTTCCCAGTGGGTCACCCATCATGGAATTGTTCTAGCCCCCTTCTCGCTTAACTTCGGAGTTCCTACGGAACCCGAAGCCAGTGAGCTCCCAAAAGGCCTCGTGCTAGGTAGGGATGGGAATATACATATAATGATCACTCTCCTGGGCGATGTGGGATGTCACAAAAAATATAATTAATATTTTATAACAAAAAAATAATATATTGACATAAATCTATTTGGAACTCATTCTACCATAACTTAAGTAACAAATATATGAATGTATATCATACCTATAAGTAAGATATGAAACTTAACTAAAAGGTAGAAAAAACATAATATATCTACAAGCAAGACACATGAATCTTACTTGATTATAAAAAAGAATCTGTCATATAGGTAGATAAATATAATTGACCTGTGATATAGGTTGATTATAAAAATAAAAAATAAAATCTATAAATGGGGTTTAAAAAGGGATAAAGAACAAGAAAGAACAAAAATAAATAAATAATCAAAGAGATAATTAGGAAAAATTTTGATTTTTATAATAAATCTTATCATTTAAGAGATAATTATTGATAATAAAATAATAAGATTTAAGGAATTTGACTTATTTTAATAAATTAGACTATTCCTACTATTGGCTCAAAAAATTGGACCTATATCAAGTTTCCAAACACTATAAATCAATTACTAATTTTTATTTAAAGAAAAATATGTAACTAACTTGTAAACTCATTAAAATATTAATGCTAGAGACTTAGTTTAAAATTTGAAAACTGATAAGATCTCAATCAATGACTAGAGACCAGATACTAATTTTTCTTAAGAATTATGTATCATTCCGTGATTAACTTGTTAACCTGCGACGTATTGGAATTTGATGTACAGTATATCGTAACCTTTTATCAATATACCACTTCCACTTACTCTTTAATTAAAAATTCTTTCTAACGTAAGCGCCTATAACCATTAAGTGTTTTGTGCGGAAGCATTCTCAAACAAACATTAGGTCCTCTCAATTCATATTGTTCAACACGAGACAATCATTATGCCACCATTTTTCAGACGATCGCATTAGGTAGCTAGGTTAATTAAGCAATGTCGTGTCTTCCGGAATTTTGTCAAACCGCATGCTCCTGCTGAATACTTGTCGTTCACAAAGATGTATTATATTAAGGGTGTCCTTGAAAGTCGATTGGTTACATTGTTAGGTCACAAAGTCAACAACGGCGAGTGAAAAATAAGCTGAAAATGAACATCAAAGTCATGTCCTTCTTGACTCTAAAAATTGTTGAATTTCTAGAGAAAACATCACGTGCTATTACCAAGATTCTAAAATGTGCTAGGGCTAGTTAGGCAACGAGTAGGGATCTAGCACCTAGGCGTTTAAGCATGGCGTATGGGGATTTTTTTTTAATTAAATTTATTATATTACATATAATTAAATGTCTACTTATACTTGGAAAAATACATTGTTCTAAAAATCTCCGCTTAGGCGCTAGGCGGTTGGCCACCGCCTCGATTAATACATAGGCTTTGAAAATTAAGAAAGGATGCCTAAACCTACTGAGATGCCCGCCTAACCTGCCCAGACCGGCCTAGACACCCATCTAGGTTGCGACTCACTTAGACATAAAATAGATAACTTTCGTTTTGCATTTTATTTTTTTCAATAAATTGTAAGAGACTTGTTGAATACTTAAAGGAACACACATTATATACTTGTTCTCCATGTTTTCATTATGTGTCATAATATATATATATATATATCATTCCATTTTGTAGTTTATGATGAAATCATATATATTTTAAGTATAAACAGACACTTATTTACACGAAATATAATAGATTTAATTAAATCCGTCTAGTCCGCCTAGACCCCGCCTAACCGCCTAGGCACTAGGCCCCAACCCACCGCCCTACTAGCGTTTAGCGTCTTTTAAAACAAAAATAAATAAATTGCAAAAATAGAATGACATATAGATTATAAAATATAAGAACGTATTGAAAACATCAGAGAAATCATATAACGAGTGTTCATCCAAGTATTCAACAAGTCTTTTACAATTTATGAAGAAAAAAAAATCCAAAATAAAAGTTATCTACTGTCGAAGTAAAAGTCGCAAACTAGACGGGTGAGGCGGGCGCCTAAGCAGGTTTAGACACCATTTTTTAATTTTCAAACGCCTAGAGATTAATAGGGAAGGTGGCCACCTACCGCTTAGACGGAGTCTAAGCAACGTTTGACAACCAATACTCAGAGTGTCCACCTGGACTTCGAATCGAGATGTGTTGGCCAACACCAGGAAGGTGACGAAGACATAAAGTGTAGTGATGTGAAAAATGTGAGTAAATTTAAACCTAAAGTGCCTAAATGTAAGAGTGGGCATGTGAGCAGAAATGAACCCATTTCACACGTGATGTCAAAGCATAAGTAAACTACAGTAAAGGTAAAAGAGGAATTTTACCGTCGATGTTCGTAATCACATATTCTCGCATAAACAAACATATCATATCGAGTGCCCATCGACATATGCTGACACACGAACTCATGCAGAGATATTCTAACATGAACAGGATTGGGTGTAACAATGACTTACTCTCTAGTACTACAATCACGTGAAGACTGGCGCTATCCACATCACATACGAGTCCTAATTGTCTATAGCAATCCAGGGCAGGACTGGTACCTACAAAAATCCAAAGTGAGCGTACGGTGCGATGTGAACATACACGTGAAAGACTAGCCCTAGCATGGGCAAGTACTAACACCAGTGCAACACACAATAAGTAGATAACGCAAATATGATCATGCAATAGTAAATCGATAATTCGATAATTCAATAACCCTAGTCAATGAAATACTATTCATAACCGTAAATACTATTAAAGCATCCATACTAATACGCATGCATGTGCATGCCATATGACGTAGTATAATTGCATGACTTCCGTCAATAGGGTAATTTTATATACGTTACCCTAATCTAGGTGTAACGCAAAAAATTCTTTATCAAATATGTAAATGGAAACCAACAAGTATATATACTATATAAAAGAAAAAACCTATTCACAGGTACTTGCGATGTCACATCGATTTGAGCTAGGAAAGCCGGAGTCTCCGACAGTAATCGCACCTAAACATAATATTGGAACCCATTAGTAAAACTCAACTTAAACGACTAAATTTGAGAAAATAGAGTTCAGATTCGGAATTAGAGTGTCGAAATACGCTAAGAAGGGTCTCTGGCAAATTTTGTAACAAGTTAACGGTCAACCCTAAAAAGTCAACCGAGATGCCGAGCCAGTCAACTACGGCAAATCTTCGGAATTTCAATAAATGAATGTCAAAAATGGACTCAGAGCATCGAAATTAGCCTATGAGAGTTTTTGAGAAAATTCCGAAAAAGTCAACACAAGGAATATTCATTCGTTTCCAAGAATATTCCTAAGAATATTCCCAAAGGAAATTCTAAGCCCATTTCGAATTTGGGCTAAGTTGGAAACATCAACCCAAAGGCTTGGGCAGGGTTTGGGCTTAAGACCTTTTTTTTTTTTCTGGTCGGGTCGACCTTGTCCTTATCGCTGGTCTAATCGCGAGTTCGAAGAAGAAGAAATCTGAAATTCCCCCGGCTCCGATCAACCACAAAACTTCACTAAATCTAGTCATCCATTATGTCAAAATGAAGCCTAAGAAACAAGGAGTCGAAATATACCATTGGATTCCTCGACCGTGGTTGGAATTGGCTCGAAAACTGCTCAAAACTGTCGAAAAACTGAGAAATTTCCCCCTCACACTGTTTATGTACCAAAAACCCCACCAAAAACCTTACAAAAGCTAGAATTACATAACAAAACATGATCCACTAAGTTTTAAGTTGTTTTCGAGACTCACCATCGTCAAAAAGTTAACCCACCAAAATTGGGCTCGGGTGTACGGCGTGGATTTGATATTGGAGCTTCATTTTTTATTTTCTGGTTTAAATCGAGGAAGGGGACAAGGTGTGCAAGTTGGTGGTGTTAAGATTAGGTGGTGGTGGTGATCTCGACCTCACAGGTGATAAATGTTGTAGAGGGATGAACATATTCGAGAGAGAGTGAGGGAGAAAGAGAACTAGGAGAGATGAAAACGAGAGAGGTTTCCAGAGAGCAGGGAGGAAGACACGTGGCAAGAGAGAAGTGGAGAGTTGCGAGATGTGGGCCCCTCTGCCAAAATAAATTATTAAAATATTAGAAATATCCTCCAAATAATAATATAATAATAATATAATAGAATATCATTAAAATAACAATATAATAAATATGAAAAACATATAAGGTATAAAATAGTAATTCTATACAAAAGTATTTTTCGAATTCGTAGTTCTGTAAAACCTTCGTCGTAGTTCTGATTTCAATTCCGCTTATGCCTACATGTTCGTACTGTCGAGTACTTCGAGAATACGGTAAAATAGTAATTCATACGCGTCACGAAATGACGATCAACAAAAGTCAACAATCTAGCCTCAAGGGGCATTTTTGTCAATTCACACTTTTAAAATTAATAAAATTGTAAAATTAGGGACGAGTTGTTACAACATTAGTCAGGAATTTGTAGAACAATGGTTGTTACCAATCTGCGCGTTGCAATATGGGTAGACAATATAGTTAATATATAATGTACTAAGGATATAATGTTGACATATAAAACTATGCACTATAAAGCAAGTAAATTAGTAATAAAATATCATATGACTCTGTGATATTGGAAAAATCGTCAACAGGAGAAAGCGAGAGTAAGTAATTGGAAAATTCTTATAATCAAAGTTTTCAATTTCAACCGTTGATTCAAGACTCGAGGCCTCACTTCTAGAAAATTTCCATGTTTTGAATGGAGAAAATATTCACATGCATGCTGCGCGTTTGACTATTTCAATTAAATTAAAAAAGAATTATTTAGCTACTTTCGTCGCCTACTTATAACGTGAAAGCGACGCAGACAATTCCAACACTCAAGGCCAGCTCCAAAATACCATTCTTTGTTCCACATTAGCAATACAACTTTCTCAGCTGCCAAACAGAAAGCCAACTTGTTTTTCTCTCAGCTTTTGATCCCAAAAAATGGCAGATGCATTGACAGAAGGTCAAATTTCTGAGTTCCAGGAAGCCTTTTGCCTCATTGACAAGGATTCAGATGGTAAGTTCTTATCAGTTCACGTTTAATCATATTACTTTACGTATGTTTTCGTTAAGTGATTCTTCTCGACTGGGGACGGGAGTTCCTACAATCGTATACATCGATTCCTCTCGCGTTCATCCATCACGTGCTTTCGTGCTCAATTTGATGAGTTGCTAGGGTTTTTGATTGAGTCTTTATTTGCAGGACTTATTAGATTGGAAGAACTAGCAACAGTGATCCAGTCACTGGATCAACGTCCTACAAAAGAAGAAATCCAAGACATGATAAGTGAGATTGGTGCTGATGGAAATGGGACCATAGATTTTGAAGAGTTTTTGAATATTATGTCAAGAAAGATGAAGGTAATTAAGCTCTATAATATCAAACTGTTAGACCTAATTGTGTTAATTAAGCTTTTGGATCCAGTTTAATTGAAGAAGATTGTATTTAATCTTGCAGGAAAATGTTGCTGAGGAGCTCAAAGAAGCCTTCAAAGTATTTGACAGAGACCAAGATGGCTACATTTCAGCCTCTGAGGTACACATTAAATTATAGTTTACTTTAGTTTCATTTGGCCTAATTGGCGACCCGACCTTTTAAATCCCAACTGATGTGTCAGAATTAGGGTTTCTTCGTGTTTGGATTTACTTTAAACTTCATTTATTTACGATCAGTAAACAACTGTCATGTTATGTATCACCTTAGTTGGTATAAAAAATTTGGGATAACAGATGATGCTTGAAATGTTACTCATGTCTCTATGTACTTGTTTTGTTTTTTTATAGCTGAGACAAGTGATGATAAATTTAGGAGAAAGACTGACTGACGAAGAGGCTGAACAAATGATTAAAGAAGCTGATTTAGATGGTGATGGTCTAGTTAGCTATGAAGAATTTGCAAGGATGATGATGCTCAGTTGATCTTTTCCTCCTTTCTTAATCATGTTACTAGAAATAGAAAAATTGATCAAAATTAAATCATGTGTTTAATCCTTATACTCATTGATTAGGAAGCAATGCAAATTGTGCAATTACGGTTGTATTATATGAGAGGTGCCATTTCACTTTTATTGTTCACAACTTAATTTGTTTAGAATTTTTTAAATTATAGCTGTATTATTTGGCATCCGTACGTATTCGCACCTAAGTTTGAATTTCCCTTAATTTAGATTTAGATCATAATATCAATTCTATTAAAAAAATGTACGCCTAAAAATAAATAAAATAAAAAGAAGATAATTTATTTATTAAAAAAAACCTACATTGTGTAATTGGGCCTTCAATCCAAGCATAATTGGGCTTTAAGAAAGTGAAGCGCCCTTTTTCCTCTTAAGCCCAACCCAATTCGAATTTGGGATAATTTGTTTAGTTGTAAATAAGCTGAGCTCTCTTATTGCTTAAATGGTTTTCAGATGATTAAAAACGTTTTTAAATTATAAAAACGTTTTTATAGAGATCTTCATGAAATACTTTAAATAAAAAATATTTTCAAACAAGTCCATATATATATATATATATATATTATTTTTTTTCAGTCGGAATACAACAGTTTTGCGCCAAATCTCTAACCTCCGCTGGCGCCTTCTTTTCTTCTCTCTCAACCCTAAAAATGGCGGCTTCGGAATCGAACCATATCGACGAGCATTCAGCTGCTGCAACAACCATACAATTCGACCGTCCGGTCCCATTACTCCGCGGACCGGTTCGGGCAAGCCCAACCGACGACCCGTCCTGCGGTCCGTACGTCCTGGCGTTTCGAGACCCAAAGGCTTGGGCAAACGCGTACAGAGCCTGCAAGTCCAAGATGGTGGAGCAGTGCGAGGCCGGCGCAAGGATCGGTTGCGCCATCAGCGGATCCGAAAAGTGTAAGCCCCCGTGGTGGCGAGCTCTGATTGGTCAGAAAGCGCCGGACTTCAAACAGAGGGAGCAGTGCGAGGAGAGAGAAATGGAGGGTTGTTTGACGGCAGCAAAAGAGAAATGCGACGGGTTTGCGAAGGAGAAGTGCCTGAAGCCCTTCAGAGAAGCGAGGATTGCAGGCGTGAACGTGAAACAGGCTGAGAGATTGGTGTGCTGGGGGACTGTGGCGGATCGGAGTACGTGGGTCAATTTGATTGGATTGGACAAATTGGGGATTTCGGGTTCTACCACGAATTATAGGGCTGGTGAGTTGTTTGGTTCGGATAGTGAGGTTGATGGAGTTTTGGGCGGTGAGAATTTGACACTGAAGGTGTGAGATTTTGGAAAATGGAGGTGAAAGTTGGTGCATTTGTGATGAAATTTTGGACGAAATTGTTGCTGATGAAGTGGGATTGTGCAAAAGGTATGTTCGGTTGAACTCTGCTTCTTTGATTTAACATGGAAAAAGTAGAAAAGTTTCAATGCATTTCTGAATTTAGTGTTCGAAACTTGGGAGTATAATATAATTGTGTTATAGTATCGGATGAGCTTCGTATGATTTTGGTTTCGGATAGGAATTTTTGTGCAGGTTCAAGTTGTATTTAGTTATAACTTGTAAGAATTCGATGGCAGTCATTTGAGTGATAGAAAGCATATGTTAATCTGATTGTTCATTGTGTTAAGAAACATTTGGTTGTGCAACTATGTGGTAAAGTTCACCTCGTACTGCAGTTTTCGCTTTGCTTGATATATTTTGTTTAGATTGTCAAATCTGCTATATATCTGATATGGGTTTGCTGCAATGCTAAAACTACGGGCGAATGCATCCATCGTCATTAGTGATTCACTGTGACTTGTGCATGTAGAACTGAACAAGTTAATGGGCGATCTTGGTGGATTTAAATCCATCTTTGCCCTTCTGTTGACTGCATCCTTACTTTGTAATTGATTTAATTGAGCTTGAATGCACAATGTTCTTAGGGTGCTACTGCATTCAGTTTACACGGATGGCACTCAGGGTTCGTTGGGCCGAAAGAGCCCAAATTAAACCCTCATTTTTAGTACTAACTTTGACCTTGGTTGAACATCAATACAAACAAAAAACTTTAGGCCCAAATATTAAACAGTTTAGGGCATCTTGTACCTCATAACTGCATGTTTTTGGGGATATATGATTTTGAACTATCCTTGTGAAGTTATTCTGCATAGACTTTCAGAATTTTTATCTTTAACATTGCACATAGCTATCTGAAAAGAATCAATTTCTTATGTAAATTAATTTAACTCTATAGACTTTTTTTGTTTATAAGGGTTTACCTTTGATATAGGCAAATCGTTTCTTGAAAGTATCATTTTCATTTATAAACTAAATTAACTACGTTGATTTTTGGCACACGTAGGATTTTAAACTTTAACATATGCAGGATAGTTATACAAACAATTATTTTGTTTTTAAAAATAAACTTAGTTATGTATTTTAGAAACTTATTTGGTTTTGGTATGTTTGACATAAAATTTATGAAAATATTTATAAAGCCAAGAACTTCTTTGATATTACATGCTTCACCAAAATATATAACTTAATGCTTTTAAAAATATAACTGTCAACTTACACTATCTAATTTGCTACTTGATGTTGTGGTTTGTTCCTTGTGTTTCTGCACCACTAAGTTTGGTGGATTCACATGAAACACAGAAATAACTACAAGCTGTTTGGCGAGGAAATTTCTGCTTCATTTATGTGCTGACACGATATCGAACTGGATTTGTTATGGTCTCCGAAATAATAAAAGAAAATGGCAGTAAATAATTCATACAAGCTATTTAGCGAGGAAATTTCTGCTTTGTTTATGTGCTGACACAATATCAAACTGGATTTGTTATGGTCTCCGAAATATTAATAAAAATGGCAGTAGAGTGTTCACACAATTTCATCACACAATAATATATGGAAACATACTGTCGATTTCTTATCTTGTGACCAAGTTTGTACTAATGATATTTCATCTTGTGATCAATTTCGTAGTAATGATATCTCGTCTTGTAATCAAATTTTTCATAATGATATCTTATCTCGTGATCAAATATTTAGTGAAGGGAGGTGCTATTTGTGCAACGGACGAATATCACTAAAGCTTTGATGGTGACCGCTGGCGCAAATTGCACTCCCCTTACAATACGCATATGACAAAAACCAACATCATAAATTGTGCATGGAATATTATACGTATAAAACTCTACATTTGCCTTACTGTGACTTGTGCGTGTAGAACTGAACAGGTTAATGGGTGGCCTTGTTTGATTTAAATCTAGCTTGACCTTCTCTTGACTGCATCCTTACTTTGTAATTGATTTAATCGAGCTTGAATGCACAATGTTCTTAGGGTGTTACTGCGTTCAGTTTACACGGATAGCACTCGGGGCTCGTTGCCGAAAGAGCCCAAACTAAACGCTCATTTTAAGTACTAACTTTGACATAGGTTGAACATCAATACAGACAAACAACTTTAGACCCAAACATTAAACGGTTTAAGGCATCTTGTACCTCATAACTACATGTTCTAGGGGATGTATGATTTTGGACTATCCTTGTGAAGTCATTCTGCATAGACTTTCTGCTTATGAATTTTTATCTTTGTAACGTTGCACATATCTGAAAAGAATCAATTTCTTTTGTAAATTAATTAAGATCAATAGACTTTATTTTGTTTATAAGGGTTTACCTTGGATACAGGCAAATAGTTTCTTGAAAGCATCATTTTCATCTATAAAATAAATTAACTACGTTGATTTTCGGCATACGTAGGATTTTAAACTTCAACGTATGCAGGATAGTTATACAAACAATTATTTTGTTTTTAAAAATAAACTTAGCTACGTATTTTAGAAACTTATTTGGTTTTGGTATGTTTGACATTAAAAATTTATGAAAATATTTATAAAGCCAAGAACTTCTTCGATCTTACATGCTTCACCAAAATGTATAACTTAAATGCTTTGAAAAATATAATTTAGTCAAATTAGCCGTGGTTGTTTCCTTGCATTTCTGCACCGCTAGGTTTGGTGGATTCATGTGAAACGCAGAAATTCGTACAAGCTATTTAATTAGGAAATTTCTGCTTCATTTACATGCTGACACAATATCAAACTGGATTTGTTATGGTCTCCGAAATAATAAAAGAAAATGGCAGTAGAGTGTTACACAAGTTCATACACACAAAAATATGGAAAAGTAGTGTGTCGGTATCTTATCTTGTGAGCACATTTGTATCAATGCCATCTTGTCTTGTGAATCTGTGATCAATTTTGTAGTAATGATGTCTCATCTTGTGATCAAAATTTGTCGTAGTAATATCTTATCTCGTGATCAAATACGCAGTAAAGGGAGCGCTATTTGCGCAACGGACAAATATCACCAAAGCTTTGATGGTGACCGGTAGCGCAAGTTGCACTCCCTTTACAATACACATGTGGTTAAAATCAACATCATAAGTTGTGCATACATTTGTATTAACGATATCCTGTCTTGTGATCAATTTTGTAGTAATGATATCTCATCTCGTGATCAAAATTTATCGTAGTGATATCTTATCTCGTGATCAAATACGTAGTAAAGGGAGTGCTATTTGCGCACGGGACCGGTAGCGCAAATTGCGTTCCCTTTACAGTACGCATATGGTTAAAAACAATATCATAAGCTGTGCGTGGAATATTATACGTAAAAAGCTCTGCATTTTCCTTACAGGTCATTTTTAAACCGATGAAACACTCAATGAGGACAGTTCAACATACCCCATTGACATCACGGATGTTGCTGTCATCGTCGGTGTAACCGAGGCACACGATTCGGCCGCGGCAGGGACGTAATGTAAAAACAGAGAAGCATTTAGTGAATGGAAGTTGCTAGGAAGTTGCAGCGACGGCCTTTTGGGGTATTTCTGCCTTTAAAGTAAGATCAACTTGGTTTCGGTCAATGTCGTGATTAATGAGGTAGGCCATTTAGTCGTGGAAAGCTCTTCCACCTTTGACGAGGGAAACCACCAGGAAATTGCATTTGTCATGTAATTTGTCCTAGTGGTGATTCTTGTGATCTAGTACTGCCTTTTTTTTCTGAAAAGAAAATGATTTTTCTGGACCATCTGTAGAGACTGAAGATAGGATTCGATGTGGAAATGGCAAGTTGGAGAAAGTGGAATCCGATGGATGAGAGTTTGTTTGAGGAAATTGTAGCGATTTCTGTACACTTATTGTCTTCTTTCGCACACTTATATTTCGGGCTATTGAATTAAATTAAATAAAATGAGAGTAAAGGGACATAAATAAACATGGTGGTCTAAAAGGAGAAAATTCGTTTTGGGCCAAATTTCCTCAAGAAATTGAGCCAGGTATAATGGCGGGCCCACCAGTGTGAGCGAACGTGCCTAATTTGTTCGCATTCACACAGCTTCGACGTGCATGACACGAGACAAAGCGTCAGCACTGCCCCCAGGAGCTGACGCCTTTGTTGGCCATGTGCAATGAGCCCAATGACTTTTTCTTTTTAATTTGACAGCTATAAAAATTGAATTGTTGGTTGATACAACGGTTCAAATTTGAACTGGTTTTTAAATCAAATTTATAATTCCATTACATCAAATTACAGAGATTGAACATCAGCAAATCTAATGGTAAAAGAAGGTCTGATGGCCCAAAATTAAATCAAATGGCTAAAACAATTAACAAATAATTTAAATAAAATTTTACCAAAAATTTCTACAAATACCTACGTATTTGTTCAAACATATATACAATGCAAATATTTTCATGTGTTTCGTATGGGTACAAGGGTTTTTTTATGTTGTTCCATGACTTTCATGTTTCATGTGATGCATATGTTATGAACTTGTGTTTAAGAATGGGGTAGCTAGTGTGATTTTTCATTATATATCCAATTTAACTATTTTTAGTTAAAATGTCCATAAAAACAAATTAGGATGATCTACATGGATTTTATTATTAAAAAGTTACCATGAAAACAGTTTAGGCTGAAATCATTATTTAATAATTTGGAGCTCAAAACTACTTAAGGAGAAAAACTGTTTCTGATTTATGGCTTAAAATTTTCTGACATAAATTTTAAAGTTTTATCCCACACCACTGCACATGTGTTATTCTTTTCTTTCTGCTTTTATGCCTTTAGCTTTTAAGGCTCGTTTAAGACTGCAACTAAACGCTTTTACTCGTAAGGGCTAACCACTTCTATTAGAAACATGTATAAGTGTTTGTTGAAATATTAAGTGCTTCCTAAAGAAAACAATTGGAAGTGCTTTCTTAAGAAGCATATGAATGCGCTTCTCCTAAAGTGTTTTTACGATCCAAAAATGCATCTAGCTTTATATGTTAAACGTAGTTGGAAGCGTTTTTTATTGTTAGAAAACATTTTTATCCTTTCTAGAAGTAGCTTTATCTATTAAACATAATTGGAAACGTTTGGATGATTAAAAAACACTTTTATCTTTTCTAGAACTAACCGCAAACCGGCCTTTAATTAAAAAATATGTGCTCAAAGATGTGAAAAATGCATTAGCAAAAGAACAGAAGCTGCTATAAAAAGCCTATTGGCATAGAAAAGTCATTATATATTTTTCAAAGGACATTTTCTCTTTAATATTGTCGTGAGATACATCGAGTTTGCGTACTTTTTTAAGGGACCCGGCTTCTCTGCTCTCCCAGTTTCCATACCCTTCTATCTCTTCTTATTTTGTGCAGTCATGGTTAAGTCACGTCAACAATTTATATTGATTTTTTTATAGAGATAATAAGACAAAAAGCAATAGTGATATAAAATGTTGACGTGATTTAACCGTAACCGCACAAACAGAAAAGGATGAGAATGTATAGGAACTGGGAAGGCAGAGAAGCCAGGTTCTTTTTTAAGGCCAATAACAATTATTTAAAAACGAATGACGTTGCTTTGTACCAGTCGGACGTCGAAGCCAATCGTAATCAACCGCCTTAGCAATATGATTTCAGAAGAAATATAAACAATTATAACAAACATAGAAAAAAATGACTAGTTTTTTTTTTTTTTTTTTTTTTGTCAAACGATAGATTTTATTAGATTTGATGTTAGATTAGTTACTGATGAGATTTGAACCCACGTCGTCATGCAAAGGTTCAACACATTTTCACCGCTGTGGTAAAATGTGTGATAAATTAATTCAGTTAGTCCAATTCGTTTATTTTATTGGGTTGTTGTATTTTATGCATATTGCAAAAGGAAGAAAAATAAATGAATTTAATGTAAATAAATAAAAGCATAGGTGGAATGATCCAAGTCCGCCCTGGCGGCAATTCTTTTAAAAAACCGTACAAAAATGTACGGACAAATGTTGGTTGTTACAACTTGCGGCGGCTCCTTTAATTTGAAACTGTCGTTAGCTTAATTAAACACTTGATATTTAATGTTGGACTTGAACCTTTACATTTGGGTGTCATAATTTGAAATATTTGAACAAAAGGTTGGCTAGGAAATAAAATACCATAAATCGGCATCGTTTTGTTTTGATTGTGTTGATTAAAGTTCAATGTATACTTATGAATCGTTTAAAGGTATGAGGTTTCAAACTTAAGTATTTGGCAAATCCGAGCGCACTATTAGACATGAGATGTTTGGTAATGAATTGCTCATCTCAAAAAAAATTCCTTTTACCGCCAATTTTTTATTTAAAAATTAATAAAAAAAACAAAAAACAAAAAAACGATGAAATTTGGCTATCTATTTGCTATTGTGTTCTTTCAAGTTGTGCTCCTTAAAATTCAACTATTCAAGACATGCAATGCAAACTTGTGGGTCATCTCTGGCAAATCCGTACACATTAATTGATAGGAGCTAACAATGTTGATTTTTGAATGATAACAAGTAGCCAGTGCTAAGTGTGCGAATTGCGGCTTCCTAATAAACAAAAAGTAAGAGAGGTTCTGGATTTAATGTTTCAAGTTGGTGAGTCTGCTTAATTGTAATCACGGGTAGGATGAAATTTCTCATAGTCTCTTTAGACCCGAAAGAAGTAGATAACTGTGATTTACTACTAGTTGTCCTTATTTTGCTGTTAAAAGAAGAAAAAAAAAAAAAAAGACAATTATGAGTTTGGAAATGAATCAACGGATATTGAGAACAACTAAGATGAGAATAGGCAAAGTCATATTTTTGAGAATTTTTTTTAGGGTGCTCGAAACACGAGTTGTTATACAAGTGAAGAGATATTTGAAAAATAAAAATTTTCTTCAATTATTTAATAATAACTGATGTACTATTCCGTGTTCCGAATATACTGAAAAATTCTCCACATTTGCCATTTTATGGGGTAAAGTATTTAATAAAGTAGGGAGAAAAAGACAACCCACGTTGCGGACCTTTCAAATATTCACAAAAGATATAAATAAATAAATATCTATGTCGACTTCCATGTCTCAATGTGACTCTGTTCATAACACAATATTTCCAACAATCTTTCCAGTTATTTCCAGTTATTTCCCTCTCTATTTCTATTTGATATATTTCTCTGAGATAATAATCTTAGTCATTTCGTTTACATCGAGCTGGAAATTTTTGTCGATGATTTTAGTGGAGACCCAAGTCATTGTTTAATAGTTGATTTTTCTTCAATTTCCCCAAGGCAAAACTAGCAGTTCTGTCATTTAAGTTGAATGGAGTGCTTTACATTTCACGGAGCAATTACAAAAGAAGAATATCGACTCGGCTTTTAGCCAAAATGTCCTTTTGAGTTTAACACAACTTTTCATTTTGATTTCTGATTTTTAAAATTGATATAAATTATTCTTGAGATTGTCCACCGTCAATCATTTTAGTGATTTTGTGAAAAATTTCGATTAAATTGAAAAACCACCAATTCCAGTGGAGGGTTGATTTAACAAAACACCCTCAATTTAACCAAGATTTTTCACTAAATAACCAAAATGATTACTATGGACAACATCAGTGACCATTTTTATCGATTTAGATCTCAAACACCACAGTCAGAAGTTATGCTAATCTCAAAAAACATTTTATCTAAAAAGCCTACTGACTCTAATGATATTTCTCTTTACAATACAAGTTTATTACAGTTTAACACGTAGGTCTAAACTTTTTTTTTTTTTTTTTGAATAAATCACTTCAGTATGCGTCAGTTTGTGAAGGCAATAAGGATTGACTCCTTACATACTCGTAATAAGACATCTCTCTCTCCAAAAAAAAAAAAAACATAAGACTCCATGTATTTTACTCTTCCTGAGAGTTGTCCTAGCCATGCATACTGATAGAAAAGCTTGTGTTGGAGCAGCCGAATATGTCATCCTTACGACGACTTTTCACAAAAGGATAGCTTGGTCACACTTGACTGCGTACTAGTCCCACCCAACATAACAACTTCTCCGCTCACTACCAAAATTTCTTGTAAAGAGCCAAACAGTATTAAAAACCTGCTCTATTTTTTATGGCCTGAGGAAGAACTTTGTATTGACCACATAAACGTGCTATTGCTGCTTGACAATTTTTGCCGACGTGGTACATATGCTTTCATCCCATTGTTAGCTACCATTTTTTGCCTATAAATACAACTCAACCATTCACTTTAGGATGAACTCTCTTTCTATCAATTGTAGGCCAAAAAGTATTAAAAACCTGCTCTATTTTTTATGGCTTGAGCAAGAACTTTGTATTGACCAATAAACGTGCTATTGCTGCTAGACAATTTTTCCGACAGGGTACATATGCTTTCATCTCATTGTTAGCTACCCTTTTTTGCCTATAAATACAACTCAACCATTGTTAGCTAGGTCATCCTCCTCCTCCTTACTAACCACTAATCTCTTTCACTCTTAAACTCTTTAGACCTAAAAAGAAAGATGGTAAGCAGCAGCGACACGCCCTACAATTGTGGCCCATCGCTCCTTGACGACCTTGACACCGCCCTCCGAGCTAAGAGGAGGTGGCGGATGGCCTTTTTGGCGTTACGTGTTGTCCGTGTCATGCTTGAGCGTCCCAGAGAGATAGTATCCAATCACTACAGTTTAGTGTCCGACGTTGATGATCATGAAGATGCTGGTCTTGCAGAAACTGTGAAGGAAAAGAACTTGGCTGCTGCAAAAAGGTACTTGCATTCAAACAGTAAACCTAATATTTTCATAAGAAGAATGATAAGTACAACTAAGCTGAATTTTCAACACGCTTTTCCTATTGACCTAAATATTAAACTTATTTAATGGGTGGTGTATCATTGTCCGCAACGTGTTTATTTATTTGGAACGAGAAATGAATGAGAGTTGTGTTATTGGACTTTCAATCCAAGTCATTTCATTGATTAATTGCACTAACAAGGGAATCAAAAGTCATGTGGACCTAATATAAAGTCAATAATTCTATTTTAGAATTTTGCAAGACAGAGACTTCTGAGGCTGCTTGTGAAGTACAGGAAATCACTAAGGGCTCACTCGAAAATACTTTTAAAATGATCGAAAATACTTTTAGTGAAAATATTTGTGAAATTAATTTTTAATAAAAATCCAACTGAATCTTGCAAAAGTACTTTAAGTATTTCTTACAAACAGCAAATATCTAGTGCTTCTTTTAAAAAAAAAAAAAACACTTGAAGTGCTATCATTCATTTTGCAAACACTTCTAAACGAGTTCCAATAATTTGTACTACAGTTATCTTTCACTTTTTTATATTACCTTTGGTTGGAATGAGTCAATAATCAAAATGGCTTCATTCTCATTTCAACTTAGAAAGTAAGTAAACACTTGCACATATTTAGTTAGATTTCGATTTCAGAATGTTAGTAAACACTCAAGTAAATGAATACATCTAATGTAATTTATGTAAAAGATCAGGCACCCTTCACAAAATTTATATTGTACAAACAAGGTGCCAAACTTTAGGGACCAAATTGTTAACTACGTGCTTAAACCGCAAGTGTGCACCTAACACAAACGTTCTGTAAGAAGATTGAAATTTTAATAAAAATTTGGTGTTAGATTACATATTGGTTATAATCTCCTTATCATTGATTCAAATTTACTAATATGTATTTTATTCAATGTCTCCAATTAAATATTTAAATTTATTAATATACACATTTCAATTTATTTTTTTGACCAAAAAAAGTTTTTTAATTCATTAGTTTTGTTTAGCATTCTTCAAACTTAAAAGGACTCAATTAATGTACCTAAATATTAGTACTGAAATGTATATCCCGAAATGTATACACTGAAATCTATTATATTGAACTAATGTGACTAAATACTTGAAATGTTAATACCAAAATGTATTTATATTGAATAAATATACCTAAATGTTTGTATCGAAATGTATGTACTGAAATGTATGTAACGAAATGTATGCACAAAAATGTATTATAATGAATTTAATGTACCTAAATGAAAAAGACAAAGTATATCGAAAGATCTTGTATAACATAAATTAGTTATCTAAATGTTTACAACAACATGTGTTATGATATAATGAAATAAAATTAATACATTAGAACTAGGAGGAAAGAGAGAAATAATTAAACATCAAAATATAATTAATAAATGAGGTGATTAATGTATCAAGGGACTATAATTAAATTTTGATCTTTATCATGTTTTTGTCTAAAAGTCATATTTGTCAAGGATTAGAATGAAGTTTCCTATAATTTAATTTCACCCTCAAAAAATTTACAATTTTAAACCTAGAACCATTATTGTACTATCATACTTTTAAGGCTTTTTAGCCAAAATGATCTCTAAAATTGGTATAAATTCTTACTTTGATCTTTGAGATTTGAAATCCATAGAAGTAGTCCATGAGACTGTACACTGTCAATCATTTTGGTTATTCCATGAAAAACCTTCATTAAATTGAGGGTAATTTTATCAAATCATCCCTTCCACTTGAACCATTGGTTTCTTCAATTCAAAGGGAAATTGTTCACAAATAAATAAAAATGGTTGACAATGAATAATCTCAAATACCACTTTTATAAAATTTTTAAATCTTAAGATCATTTTCGCTAAAAAAAATCTATGGCAGAGCCTGCTTTTTATAAAGAATGGTAAAGCCTACTTTTAATAAAGAATTGTAGAGTGAGACAATGGTACAACCATTATTGTAAAGTTTTCCTTCCGTACATCGAGTAATTGAAGCATGATAAAAAAATGTCATTTCATACATAGTGGGAGGACCACCACAAGAGAGGAAATTTCCCCATTGCATGTAGCGCAAGAAACCTTTTGGTTTAGGGTGATTGACCACACAATTGAATGGTAGACCTTAAAAAAAATCCAACCTAAAGTTTGGAGGGAGTAGCTTTCCATTTCACAAGAGAAATACAAATACAATGCTATCACAACGTTGCTCGTGTACACATCAAGTCCTATACTTGTATTGTGTTCGGTTCATGTCATTCAAGTCGTGTCGTGTCACACATTGCCTCTTTTGCAATCACCGACTGAATTTGGCTATAAAACAGAGCAAAAACACATGACAATGGAGTTCTTAATTTGTTTCAACTAGGCTCTCTTTCCGACTTTATTTTCTTAACTGTGTGAACTCATCAAAGTTCTAACTGTTGACAAACCATGTTAAGCAGCCGCGATTCGCCTTATGGTTATGGCAAATTGCTCCTCGACATCACCACCACCACCACCCTCACCCTCACCAGAGCCAAGATGAGATGGCGCATGGCATACGCAACAATATATGCTGTTCGGGCCATGCTTTCGCTTCCCAAAGAGCTTCTAAACAAGAGAAACAACTACAAAAAGGACTCCGAGATCTTGCACTCTTATTCTTACACTGCACTGGATGTGAAACCAAGCGCTTCCCACCAAGAAATCATTACTGAAACTGATCGGTGCAGTTTTCTCCCCAACACTGAATTTGATCATGCAGGACTTGTACGAGTGGTGCGGGATAAGGACTTGTGTGCTCTGAACCAGTTTGGAGGAGTTAACGGCGTCAGCACTTCTCTCAGAACAAACCCTGAAAATGGCATCCCTGGAAATGAGCCAGAAGTCAACCAAAGGCGTGAAACCTTTGGTTCAAATACCTACCACAAGCAGCCTCCAAAAGGGTTGTCCTATTTTGTGCTGGACGCTTTGAAAGATACAACAATTCTGATTCTCTGTGTCTGTGCGGCGCTTTCTCTCGGATTTGGAATCAAAGAGCATGGAGCGAAGGAAGGCTGGTACGAGGGAGGAAGCATCTTTGTTGCTGTATTCATTGTCATTGTTGTCTCAGCTCTCAGTAACTTTAGACAAGAATTACAGTTCGACAAATTGTCTAAAATCAGTAGCAACATCAAAGTTGAGGTATTTAGAGACAAACAGAGACAAGAAATCTCCATCTTCAATATTGTAGTTGGAGATGTTGTGGTTCTGAATATGGGAGATCAAATACCTGCAGATGGATTGTTCCTAGATGGGTATTCCTTACAAGTGGACGAGTCAAGCATGACGGGAGAGAGTGACCATGTTGAAGTTGATTCCGCCAAGAACCCCTTCCTGTTCTCCGGTGCAAAGGTGGTAGATGGCCATGCTCGAATGCTCGTCACATCAGTTGGGATGAACACTGCGTGGGGAGAAATGATGAGCTCAATATCGCAGGACTCAAATGAAAGAACACCATTACAAGAAAGGCTTGACAAACTAACCTCTTCTATTGGAAAGGTAGGCCTTGCAGTTGCCTTCCTAGTTCTTGTAGTCTTGTTGATTCGTTTTTTCACTGGTAACACAAGAGATGATGAGGGAAAAAAGGAGTACAGTGGTAGCAACAAAAGCATAGATAGTGTGTTGAGCGGAGTAGTTCGCATTGTTTCCGCTGCAGTCACTATTGTGGTTGTGGCAATCCCAGAAGGTCTGCCATTGGCCGTCACACTAACACTTGCTTACTCAATGAAAAGAATGATGAATGATCAGGCTATGGTCAGAAAACTACAAGCTTGTGAGACGATGGGATCAGCAACCGTTATTTGTACTGACAAAACAGGAACTTTGACAAAAAATGAAATGGAAGTGACTCAATTTTTTGTTGGCCAAGATCTCTTTGAGAAAGATAATTCAATCACATCAAATGTTTGTGAATTATTCCATCAAGGAGTTGGCTTGAACACGACCGGAAGTGTTTACATGCCTTTTTTGGGATCAAAACCCGAAATTTCTGGTAGTCCAACAGAGAAAGCGATTCTCCATTGGGCTGTTTCAGATTTGGGTATGGACCTGGAAAAGTTGAAGCCTAGTTATGACATTCTTCATGTTGAAACGTTTAACTCAGATAAGAAACGAAGCGGGGTTCTTGTAAAGAAGAAGAATAACACCATCCATGTGCACTGGAAAGGAGCTGCTGAGATGATCGTTGCAATGTGCTCGAGTTATTATGAAACCAACGGGACTATAAAGTCCTTGGATGAAGATGGTAGGTCAAATATTGAGAAAACAATCCAAGGCATGGCAGCTAGTAGCCTCCGGTGCATTGCTTTTGCTCATGCTCAAATTTCAGAGAAAGAAATTGAATACAGCAACGACAACAAGCCCCACCCAAGGCTAAAAGAAGATGGATTAATCTTGCTAGGGGTAGTTGGTCTCAAAGATCCATGTCGGCCAGGGGTCACCAAAGCTGTGAGTACATGCATGTCTGCAGGCGTGCAAATTAAAATGATTACCGGAGACAATGTTTTCACAGCTAAAGCTATAGCTACAGAATGTGGAATACTAAATACTGAGGATGTGGAAAATGGTGATCAAGTGATAGAAGGAGCAGAATTCCGAAACTACACACCGGAAGAGAGAATGAAAAAGGTCGATAGAATTCGCGTGATGGCAAGATCCTCCCCGTTCGACAAGCTATTGATGGTGCAGTGTTTGAAGCAGAAAGGACATGTGGTTGCAGTCACAGGAGATGGCACAAATGATGCACCTGCATTGAAAGAAGCTGATATAGGACTTTCCATGGGAATCCAAGGGACGGAGGTGGCAAAAGAAAGCTCAGACATCATCATCTTGGACGACAACTTCAATTCTGTGGCCACAGTTTTGAGGTGGGGGAGATGTGTTTATAACAATATACAGAAGTTCATCCAGTTTCAACTAACTGTTAATGTCGCAGCTCTAGTAATCAACTTTATCGCCGCAGTTTCAGCTGGTGAAGTTCCCCTAACAGCAGTTCAGTTGCTGTGGGTGAATCTCATCATGGATACACTAGGCGCTCTCGCCCTTGCTACTGAGCGGCCAACAGATGAGCTAATGCAGAAGAAACCTGTAGGTCGAACTGCGCCGCTCATAACCAATATTATGTGGAGAAACCTTTTATGTCAAGCTCTATATCAAATAGCCATCCTCTTAACCTTGCAGTTCAGTGGCGAGTCCATCTTCAATGTCACTGCTGTGGTGAATGATACTTTGATTTTCAACACGTTCGTACTCTGTCAAATTTTCAACGAGTTCAACTCGAGGAGCATGGAGAAGCAGAATGTATTCAAAGGAATTCACAGGAACAAATTGTTTATTGGAATTGTGGGGATAACTATCGTTCTTCAAGTTGTGATGGTGGAGTTCCTGAAGAAGTTTGCAAGCACAGAGAGGTTGACTTTGAGGCAATGGGCAACTTGTGTCGCAATTGCAGCTGTTTCATGGCCAATTGGTTGGATCGTGAAGTGCATACCAGTTCCAGATGAACCGTTCTTCGAAACTATCAAGAGGTTACTCACAATCAAAAGAAATGTGTGAGCATCTTGGACTCCAAGTCTTGGATTTGGCTCGAGAACCAAGGTCCAGGTTCCAGAGTTCAGGGGCCGGGACAAGATGTCGGATACCTGAGCTCAAAGCTCAAAGGCGTGAGCTCAGGGCTCAAGGTCCAAAGTGGAGCTCTAGGTTTGGGACTCAGCACTCGGGGTTCATTCTCAGGGTTCATGTCCTACATCCCTAGCTTGGGGTCTAGGTTTGAGTATTTGATGCTCGGAGTCAATGCCTACGGCTTGGAGTCTTAGGCTCGAGTGAATTTGTAAATTTGGAATGCTCATTCCCAAACTATATATGCGAACCAAAACAACGGAATGACCATTCCATAAGGATGCATAAACCCTAATAATCCAAACGTTACCTGAGATACGGATTATTATGGTGTAAAATAATAAGTTCCAAGATAAGATTCCTTGTATCTGAACTTGTAAGTGTGATGTTTGAAGGAGATGTACAAGAGTGCGTAAGCCGAATTTAATCATTTTCTAACTTAGATAAGATTAATTCATTGTTTATAAAGCACAGAAGCAAGACGGAGATTAGATAATATCAGTTATACATGTTTACATTCAAGAATAGGCTAAAACAAAAGACTCGAAAGAGCAGAAACCGAAAGGATGTAGTATATGAACTCTAATCCCGACTTCTGCATCATTTCAGTGAATAACATGTAAAACAATCTGAAAGTGACATTTCTTTTGATTATTGTAAGAGCTATTGAAGATTGCTAAACCCTAATCATGGTTTAAGACTCTTTAATTACAAAGACAAACATCAGCAAGTATGAACTGAGCAGGAATAGTAATTGGAGATTACTTACATAAACCAACTACTGGCGGAACATGGCAACAATCCCTTTCACAGGAGAGATTTGACCGTGTGACCGTTGTAATGTCTCTCCCTCCCTCTATCTTTTTCATCACCTCACGATAGAGAGTTGGGGGGACATTACGACGGTTACACCCAAGATCTTGCCCTTTCACAGCCTTCCCCTCACATTATTACCTGCAGGCTGCAGCAAAATTTCCAGTTAATATCTGAGATTAAACAAAATCAAGCCGCTTCCTTTAAGACAACCCATTTAATCATTTTCAACAAACTTTTAGGGAAAAAAAAAAATACCAATTACACACAGAAACTCCAGAAAATTCCAATTGAGAAGATAAATCAATCAATCAATCACCCCCATCACCTGTTACAATTAAGTGAAGGAGTAAAGGAACACCCTTTTAATTTGCATGCTTTCTTCATTTTGCAGATACAGAAAACCCATCATCATCCTCTAAAATCTAATTCTCTCATCGAATTCACATGGAAAAAAGTTCAAATTTACTGATTTTTTGAATCAGATTAATTACCAAACTGAACAGTAAGAAAAGGAAAGGCAAAGGCAAAAACAGAGAGTAAAGTATAAGTTTTTTGAAAACTCACTGGTACTGCACAGTTACATGTTGCTTGCGAACTGCCAAGTATTCTTCTTCGGTACAGCAGAGAGAGAGATTAGGCGCGCCAAATGAACAGATTGTATCTGTAAATTTGCAGGATGCTCTTTGGTCTTGAGAAATTGAGTGATTTGAAAGCAAACAGAACACAAAAGGCCAATAACGTCCTTTCATTTTTAATCATGATGTAGGCAGAAGCGACATTGTCTATTTTGCATTCGTCACAAATTGGCCGCGCAGTTTTTTTCAATTGTTTTTTAAGGGACCATCTTGTGCCAAAGTCACGCCAGTTTAATTTTTTGGAAGTTGAAAAAACTCATAGAAGCGTTTCAACCATTTTTGGGCACTCACATGTGATCACCAACGCAATGAATGGAACCCACAAGTTTCACTTGTATCGTATCGTTCAATTCAGAAGCAAATTTTCACAAATATCGTTCATCTAAATATTTCAACATAATATCGTTCACCTAAATATATCAACATCACAATGGACCTAGTGGTTGAACTTAATTGGACACCTTCTTTAGTTTTTGTAGGGCCTTAACTCCATTAAGATATCAAGGGTATATGAAAAAAAAATTAAAAACTAAATAAAAATAAATAAATAAAACCATCTTAAGAGAGAGAAGAATCGAACTCGTGATCTTATAAGAGAGAAAAATCAAACACAAGATCTTACATACGTAGATAAATTTACAAGTCCTAGAAACTGCAAGCCCTACTATATTATTATGGGTGTAGAGATTTTCGCTACACTTTCAACATTGTAAATGAAACATTGTGATCGAATAATGACTGCCAATATGAAAAATTGCATAAAAACGAATTGACCTTACAATAGTGAACCTCATACTTTACAATAAACTTGATTTCTCAAATTCAATAGCAGAAATTTCACAAGTACTTTCATTAGTTGCAAATCAGTCCACATATGAATGAACAAAAAATGGACGAACAACGTAATATGAAAGTAAAAATATTATTAAAATAAATAAAAATACCGAAACGGTTACAAAATTTATACAAGTACATCGAGATTAACTTGACGAAAATAAACGAATAAAGACTCGTACATATGGCAAACTAGCAAACTCTAAACCTAAACGGACTTAGGCCCAAGAAATCAAACACTAAAAAACTAAATACGACTATTTTTCCAACAATTCCAACGTTTAAACAATGATATCCAAAGAGGTTTAATTAATTAACAATATACAGGATAGAACGGTTAAAAGCTTATATAATACTACTGCAGGCTGTGCAGCCATGCACAAAGATTCAAGTGCTTTCCCCCCTTGTTAATGCATTCTTTTACGACATATGTCACCATTAAATTGTTCTTTAACAAAACCAACATATTAAACAACATCTAAAAGGGATTAGTGCAATATAATCAAAGGCTTAATTTAAGTATAAGGGTTAATTGATAAGATGGAATCTCAAAAGCACCAAACATTTTTGGACTGGAGAAATTCTGTCACTCAAAACCCTAACAGTAGTATGAATATTACCCCAAGCAGCTAAGATTCCGGAATACCATATGAACATTTTTAGCGCAATGTTACTCTCATTGGCCAAGTCATGGCCTTCTTTTGCAAAATAAAGTTCTGCAAATGGACCACCATGTGTATACTGGATTACATATGATAAAAAGGGCAATCCCAAGGCAATAAGGTTCTCTTCTTTGCAAGGGTCGGAGAGGGAGGGGAAACGTAATCGTAAGCAGTCTTACCCTTACTTTGCAAAGAGATTGTTTCACAACTCGAACCCATGACCTTTTGATAAAACATGAGTAACCTTTCTATTGCGCGAAGGCTTGCCCTTATTGAATTAAATATCATAAATCATGAAATTTCATATTAGCACTCTAAAAAAGTCTCCATGCTCTTTTACCTTCTTTATTTCATTAGCTAAGAGTGCAGGATGACCTTTTTTAAAGCGCCAAATGCATCTCCAAACAATGAAATGTCAGACGGCATACGATCAGCTATGTTGTAGTGCTTGATAAAAACCAAATCCATCACAAAGTTAAAGAGACTCCAAAGTTAAATCCTAGAAGTGGAACCACAAAAAGAATTTAGAAACCAAACAAAAACGAGAGGAAAAAAGGACAAGTGTAAGGGAAAAAACGATGAAACAGTACCCTATATGGCACAGAAATGAAAGAAAATTGTAGCCAAATTAATGATTCCCCAAATGAGAAAATCACATAAAGAAGCTATCCAGATGGTGTAGGGCTAGAATCGTGATAGTAGGGAGTGTTCTTTTTCGTGATCCCCATCAACAGGTGAAGCTACCACATGATCTGATCTTTCCTTGACCAAGAGGGAAGTTTAGATCATGCTGGCAGCTTCAACTGCTATTGGTCCACGACATCCAAAGCAAAACCCTAATCCATATGTGAGAGATAGAGAGAGATATCTACTTTTCTTTAGCTGTGGGATGTGTTTGGAGAAGAGGAGAAGAGGGCGATATAAATAGAAGCCAAAGAGTGCCTTCCTATCTCAGACTCTTCTGTGTGTTAGTAGTCCCTGTGGTGGTGAATTTGTTATAATTAAGGGCTAATTAAAGGTTAGAAATAGTATATTAGTGATCAATTAGTTGTGGAGAGAACAGGTGGCAGTGGTCCAAAGTAAGACAAATTGAATATTATCAGGCTCTTATGCCACCACCATGCAGACATGGTAGTGACCTCTTCTATAATTTGCCCTGAGCTTTAATCAACTTTAAGTGGAACTTTCTTCCACACCATACATGAACCAAAAAAGAGTTCAAAACACAATGAGTTTGTTGGGGACCATTGGCACGCTTCTTAGCAAATTTAGGAGAAAAGGAAAGGGGAAGCATCTCAACCAAAACAAATGCATGTGACAATCTTCCTGTTAGAAATATATTCTCATTAAAATGAAACTGGGTTACATTGGATGTATTTATACACAGCAACTAATAACATTAGTTAACTACTAATGTAACTAATTAAGCTTAATCTATGAATTAGTTACAATAGAAAACTTAAGGACTAAGCAATGGATTTTAGCACTGTTGACTGTTAGGTTGACTGAGAAGAATAATGTGTGTCTTTACACCCCCTCAAGCTGAACGGAGGGGAACCAAGTGAAAGCTTGGAACGAAGAAACTGAAATCGACCCTTGGACAGGGACTTGGTGTGAATATCTGCAATTTGATGGAGACTAGGAACAAACTGAACTTTCAGTAGAGAAGCCAAAACCAGTTCCCGAATATAATGGTAGTCGATTTCGACATGCTTCGTTCGAGCATGAAAAACTGGATTGGAAGCAAGAGAAATCGCAGAAACATTATCACACCAGAGAAGAGGAACCCGGGACAGAGGAAAACCAATATCCTTGAAAAGTTTGCAGATCCAGGTTATCTCAGCAGAAGTGTGAGCCAAAGAACGGTATTCAGCTTCAGTGGAGGAGCGAGCAACTGTGGGCTGCTTCTTGGCACACCAACTGATTAAGTTGCAACCAAGATACACACAGTAACCACTGGTAGAGCGGCGATCAAATACACAGCCAGCCCAATCAGCATCTGAGAAGGCAGTAAGAGTGAGAGAGCCTTTTTTGAACCAGATGCCATCATTCACAGTGCCTTTAAGAAAACGTAAGACACGTTTGACAGATTGAAAGTGTGTATCTCTCGGACAATGGAGAAATTGACAGAGTTGATTGACAGCAAAAGAGAGATCAGGACGGGTCCAGGTCAAATACTGTAATGCCCCAACAATAGACCTATATTCATGGGGATTAGAGAGAAGTGTACCACTGTGGTCTAACTTCTGAGTACCAAGAAGAGTGGAACAGGGTTTGCTGCCATCCATGTTAGTCTTGAGAAGAAGATCCATGGCATACTTATGTTGACTGAGAAAGATGCCAGCAGAGGTGCGATGAACTTCTAACCCCAAGAAGTAGTGCAACGGACCTAAGTCTTTGACAGGAAAGAGCTGACTGAGTTTGTGAATAAAATCATTGCAGTCATGAGCACTAGGTCTAGTAACTAGTATATCATCAACATATACGAGGACAATGACAAGAGAGGGCTTGAAATTCACAAACAGTGAGCAATCAGATTGAGAGTTTTGGAACCCCAGAGACAGCAAAGATTGAAACAATTTATCATACCAAGCCCGTGGGGCTTGCTTAAGACCATACAAGGACTTAGAAAGCTTGCAGACATGAGATGGCAGGGAAGGATCAATGAATCCAGGGGGTTGTTGCATAAACACCTCCTCCTTGAGCGTCCCATGTAAGAAAGCATTGCTTATATCCAACTGGTTTAAAAACCAATCAAATTGTACTGCCAATGTCAAGAGAATGCGAATCGTGACAGGTTTGGCAACCGGGCTAAATGTTTCCTGGAAGTCAATGCCTTCCTGTTGATGGAACCCCTTGGCGACTAAACGGGCTTTGTATCTGTCTACACTACCATCAGGGTTTCGTTTGATGCGAAACACCCATTTGCAGCCTACAATATTTTGGTTGGGTGTAGAAGGGACAAGGGACCAAGTTCCAGTGGACTGCAAGGCTTGAAACTCCTCAGTCATGGCTTGCAACCAGTGGTCATGTTTGGAGGCTTGAAGGAAAGTGGTAGGAACAAACTCTAAGGAATTAATAGGATGTTTAGTAGCTGCGAAGGCTTTGGGTTTAAAAATCCCGGCTTTGGATCGAGTAATCATGGAATGAGTGTTGACAGAGAGGGGAGGTGAAGGTGGGAGTGGAGAAGGGGGCACGGGGGAAGAAACCTGCAGTGTGGGAGAAGAGGATAAAGGTTGGATAGGAGAAGTGGAGACAGGGGGAGAATTGGGGACAGGGGGAATAGAGGAGGAAGTGGAAGGAAGTACAGAAGGTGAGGGAGGATGGGAAAAAGGAAAAGGAAGAGTGAAGGTGGGAGATGGGGAAGAGGGATTGGGTGGCACTAGAGAAGACGTGAGGGATGTATGGAAAGGAAAATGAGATTCATTAAAAAGGACATGGCGAGAGATGTAAACTCGAGAGGTAAGAGGATCTAGGCAACGATAGCCTTTGTGGTGCAAACTGTAGCCAAGAAAAACACAGTGAATACTCTTCCCATCAAGCTTAGAAGTGGAATAAGGTTTAAGCCATGGATAGCAACTACTGCCCAAAAACCTTGAGCTTGGAATAATCCGGAGACTTATGAAAAAGTAATTCCCAGGGAGATTTATCAAGGT